GACCCTTCCACACAGCCATATAACCCAGAATATCAAGGCAGAAAATCTCACAATATCTGCTATGAAGTGGGTTATCTGAGTCCACACTGACATTTACCCCAGTTCAAAGCAGATAATGTGGAGTTTTATTCAGCTATGTGGAAGGGACCCCAGTTGCAAATCAAGACTGATAAAGAGGTAGTCAGGAATCACTTGGTTAATCAAAAGAAGTGCAAATTTGTATGGTCAGATTAAGTGCTTCCCAAAGTACAGTCAGCTCCCTAATTTTGGGATTTAACCAACTGCAGCTCAAAAACATTCACTTCTGATAATCACATGGGTAGATGCCACAATGCGGCTTCACTAAAAAATAATATTGTCAGGAAGGGGGCCTGCTTCTGTCTGACAAAACAGTAGAAAGCCTTTCTGATGTGTGGCCATTGAATCCAGCGATCCACACATTTTTTAAAAAAATCCCATGTCATTCTGGAGATTCCAAAGTAATGGATTCAATGATGGAAGCAGCATTTCTGTTGTGGCACTGACCATACATCATGTGAACTGTTCACAGTAAATTTGAGGTGAGTACATTTTATTTGACCCGTGCAGATATGGAGTGTGTAGTCTGAAAGAGACCCAAGTTAAATATCTGGATCCATACATGCAAGCCATTCCAGATACTGTACCTTTCAGTTGTGATTGTTATCCTCCCTCATAGGTGGCTCAGGGCTCCCACTTTTTTACATGAGGCATCCAAATAACGCTCTACGTAAAAGTGAATGCATTTGGCACAAAGCAGTTAAACTCTTCTTTGTGCTGAAGTAATCTGTCAGCTGGAATGACCCGAGTCTTTCAAGCTTTGGACGCTGTGTAGATGGCGACCAGGGATCGTGCCATGCAACTTCTGGTGCCCATCTACACAGCAGTCTCAGGTTTTTTGGGCTCCTAGAGCCCAAAAAACCCAAGACAGCTCCTGCCCCCTCCCAAAACTCCTTTAAAAACCTAAATTAAGAAAATAAGTTACTCAGCCATCATCCCCCCTTCTCTTGAGCTCTCCTGGTGCATAGAAATGATGTCCCAGGAGAAAGGGAAATCACTCTTGGGTCCCCCCTGCTCCCAGCGTATCATTTCTATGTGGCAGGAGAGCTTTGGCAGCAGTTTAATGGTGGCTGGGTAAGTTATTTTATTTTTAAAGGCTTTTAAAAAGGGTTTTGGGGATGGGGTGTGAGTGTCTGTCTGTCCTCCCAGGAAGGACCCCCCTCCCCCGCCCAGAAAACCATGCACTTTCTGGGGTGGGTGCAGACTTTAACCCATGCCCAATCACGTTAATTACACCTGATTGCTCCCGGGTTAAAGGGCTGTGTGGAACCACCCTCTGTTTATTGTGCTTGCAAATGCTATCTATGCCAAGAAAAAAAAATTGTGGCAGTGTTCATTTGCTTTCCCAAACAGCCCTTTAAATTTTGGCCATAGGCTATTGTTTGGCCCTACATGCCAGCTACAGGAAAAGTGATATCTTTTATGGGACTAGAAACTGTTGATGCATAAATAGGCATCATTTCAAATAACACACAATTCTTCAGTCAGGCACTCAATGAAAGCTACGTTTTCCCATCTCATAAGCAATGCACAGACAATGATTTCCTATCTTGCCACAATTCCTATTCTCTCCCTCTCCTCCCCGATAGATATTTTTAGCAGACAACTGTCTGTCTCTACAGTCTGCCCAGCACACAACTGACTGTGAATGATTTCTAAAATGCCTGTCCCCAGGCATATGATGTTTACAGCTGCTAATAATACACCTCAAAAATCTTTACTTATTTCTGAAACAATTCTGCCTACATAATGAAGAGGAGAAGCAAACTATGCTTCCATCTGCTTCTACATCTGTATTACTTAAGTGCAAATATTAATTCATACATTATTAGAATTGGCACTTTTCTCCCAAACACAGTCCCTTGCTTATCCACTGGCATTAATAGGGAAGAATCGTGTATGCTAGCCAACTATTTCTTAGTCCTCCAATGATACTCAGTTCTGAAGCAAAATGATAATGCTGGTGCGAGAAAGAAATTAGAGAATTAGACAAAAGAGGCAGCCTCATTTTGCATAATATTGGATTTTTTTAAAAGTATTTTTCCCAACTGTGGATGGAATTTGTGAATTTTGTTGAAAAATGTTTTGGAATTCATGAGATTCCTGTATGTCAACTTGAAGGTACGTATGCATGCAAAACAATGGGTTCTGAATGTAGCTAGTGATAGTTTCCTATTGACCCTCTAACCCTGCTGATTAATGAAACTATTACAATTGAATGCCCCAAAGAATCATAAGGAAATGGGGGAAATGGAGGATAAAAATCAGTAGGGAAGTCAGATCAAATGGTAGTGACATGTCTAGGAAAAGCACATCTTGTTAATACTGTTTGTGCAGGCAGCTAAGCCCCAGAATTGCTACTGATGCAAATAATTAATAAGAAGGTAAGCAAATTAAGAGATCAGAAGGCTTGGCTTTCGGATGTGGAGAAAAATCTCAACATCCTAAGTCAATTAGCTATGAAAGGGTGATAATTATGTGTGTCCTCCATTCTAACCTATGTTCTTTTTTATTTATTTGGTGGTTTGCTGAATTAGTGGAAGGGAACATGTCAGGCAGATCTTGAAATCAAACAGAAATAATCCAGGGCCAGGCTGCATGAAGTGATTTCTGCCATTAAATTAATCATTTGAGACCAGCCTTAGGAGGTCTCTGTATTACCGTATATCCTAGAAAAGCATGGGCTATGAGGCTACTACATGCAATATTCTAGCTAGAAAACCTACTTCTGATAGTAATTCCATGCATTTAAGCAACCGTTGAAATGTATTCATTTATTCAGAGTGCACTACAAGTTTCTGTTGATACATATAGCATTGTAAGTTTTAGATGTGTATTATTTTAGATCCATTTATAAGGGCTATTGGTAGTCTTGGGCCCCAAAAGGAGGAACAGGTTAAATGATTTAAAGATGGTCTCTTTTGTCTTCCCCTTCCCGTCTAGTTTTTATGGTTTTCTAACAGTCTCAATGCATCAATCACATTATATCCACTTTGAGTCTCTTTGTGGAAAGAAAAAGTAGGGTATAAATAGTAATAATAATCGTCATCATCATCTATCTAATTTAAAGTTAAGGTTAAAACACGCAAGTAAAATTACAGGTAGCAGAATTAATGCATAAGTAATCTACAATACATTACAAAAATACATCAAAATACATATGATCAAAACTATTCTGAATAATAATTTAGAAACATGCAATAAAAGTATAGTTTGCCTTTGGGATCTGCTGGGGGTTGGTTGCAGGCCCCATCGTGGATACCAAAATCCGTGGCTCCTCAAGTCCCATTGTACATAATGGTGTACTAAAATGGCATCCCATATATAAAATGACAAATCCAAGGTTTGCTTATAGAATTCTTTAAAAATAGTTTAAAGGCACAGATGGTTGAATCTATGGATGCAGAATCCGTGGATAGTGGGCCATCTGTACACTTTACACTGAATAAAAAGGCTTTTAAATGTAAAACAATCAGTTCCCTAAAAGGCTTCTGGAATAGAAAAAAATCCTGCTGATGAGTCCCAATTATGAAAGAAAAAGTAGGGCAGAACTAAAATACGTAATGAAGAATTTTAGTCATTTCTCCATGTGTAATGGGGTCAGGGATGCCATCTTGACTTCACCTTAGGCAGCAAAAGCATTTAGCGTGGCCTTGCAGTTGGTCTTGCAACCATATGCACCAAGCACTTTAACAAATTCAGATGTCAAAGCTTGATTGTAAAAAGATGAAACCCAATTGGAGAATCAAATACCTTGGCTTCCCAATCACACAACCTCTCTAATTGTCTTCCTGAAGTTTCATTTGTCTTGGATGTTCACAGCTCAAGATACAATGGCTTCTCTAGATGGTTAGGCAATTTCTGGTTGTGCAATAAATAAATATTGACTGATTGACCCACCTGAAACAAAACAAACTACTCTGGAATTCTAGCTATGATCAAGGAATGGATTGGGGAATGGAAACTGCCTTGTTTGCAGTTCTCTTGCAATATCTTGGATTATTATTATTGTTGTTGTTATTATTATTATTATTATTATTATTAAGTTTATACCCACTTTTTCTCTCCATAAGGAGACTCAAAGCAGCTTACATTAAAAGCATTTCAATACAATTTAAAATCTACAAATATACAAACATTTAAACAGAATTAACTCTCATTGGTATTAAAATATTAAGTTAAAATCCATAAAAAAACATATTCAAAACTAAAAACCACAGCACCCCCGAACTTAAAACCTTCTTCTTTTAAGCCTGCCTGAATAAAATAAAATAAAAGATCCCTGCTCTAAATCCTTCAGCATTTGTGGTCAATTGGTCTCCAAGGAAGTTGACCACAGATGCTAGAGAACCTAGAGATTCTTAAATGCATCTACACTGTATAGTTAATCCAGCTTGATACTACTTTGCCATGGTTCAATGCTACAGGGTGTGTTGTTTGGTGAGGCATCGGTCCTCTTTAGCAAAGAAGGGCCAAGACTTTGTAAAATTACAACTCCCATGATTACATAGCATTAAGTTATGGCAGTTCAGACTGGCATTTCAAGTGGTACGTTCAGTCTTTGGTGCAGATATACCTCTAAAGAAGTATTTTTTCAAGTAAATTCACATTTTTTCCACTTTTGCAAGGATCCTGTACATCTAACCCCCACAAAATTACTGTTCAGAGATGATAATGTTAGGAGAAGCCAGGTCTTGTAAGGGTTACCTGTGGGGCTGCAGCATTTGGAGCCCCCACCCCCAGAGTTTGAATTACAATGACAAGAATCTCTTAGCCAGTGCAAAGTACACACATCCCCCATCCAAACCCAAACCCAAACCCAAAGAATACTGAAGCACTTGTAATAAGTACTCAATGTGGAATAGGCGTCAATACAAAGCCAGTGAGAGAGACCACACTGCCCTTTGGTGAAAGAAGCATACCTTTGTGTCTAAAGGCAGGAAAGGGAGATTGAGACCTTTAAAATGCTGGTGCTTGGCCACCTATGGGTGGGAAGACTTGAAGCTCTGCAGCTAAACGCCAGCTCCTCCTGCTGCTCTCCCTCCTTAGGTTTTCCTGTCTGCAAAGCCTCCGCTTCATCTGGAGCTCAGAGAAGAGGCAGTACAGCGAGGGTCTGGATCCCCAGTTTCACACCTGCCAGACATTTGAGAAACCAAGAAAGGGTGATTTGAGCTTCTCCACTTGACCATATCAGAATTAAAGCTTTTCCAAAAAGCTATTATACCATTATGGCTATAAATTATTATTAATGACAATTATTCATAAATAATAATTATTCATATTACATCACTCATGCACATTTTATATATTTATTTCCATTGAAAGTCAATGACTTCTATGCCAGCAGAATAGTGAATTCATGCCAGGTTTTATTGTCGATTTTAAAGGAGTTATCCAAGGTCCTGATCCACAAACTCAAATACATGTAGTTAAAGCACTGACATTATTTGGGGGATGTCAATTAGTTTTTCTTAGTAACTTCACTCATTGCTGGCCATTTTAGAAATACTCTTGCCATTCATTGGTTTGACACAAGTATAAACAAAATAATTTTAGAAATGTTGCTGCATGGGTTAGCATCAATAGTTAATTGTTTTTAATTTAACAGTTTAACATCAAAATATTAATTCCAACATTTACATTTCAACATTTAGCATAAGTAAGGGAATTCAACAGCTAATTTGGGGGAGAAGAAGAAAACTTTGTTGTCGCAATGGCTGAGTAACTGGAAACCAGAAATATGTCTGCTACAAATTAAGGCAATTATTTATTGCCAGTCTTGGCTATATTTCAAGCAACTCCTGCTTAAGCAGCTGAGGGGGGAAAGGAAAGAGCCAAGGCTGTTAGAAATTGTGGGAGTTGAAGTCCAAAACACCTGGAGGGCCCAAGTTTGCCCATGCCTGCTATACATACAATACAACACAACATACAGGATTACAGCTCATCAACATACAATAATTAATAAATATACCTTAGCAATATTACAGTCTAAATTATATGATATAACTATTGACAATGTCAACTGATATTTATGAGTCATTCAGTGTAAAACTTAACATACAAATAGGAAATAAAAATAGAAATAACCATTCTAGTAAAACTAACTAAAACCTGAAGATTTGGTATCTAACTTAAATGAGATTCAAGCTAGTGGAGACAAAAGGCCCTATTCAGAGCCATAAGGTACCAGAAACTAATAATCATAGCCACCTCTAAATGGGTTTCTCCTGATAGGGAAGATAGGGAAGAGATGTTTTTATTCTCAGAATTCTGCAAACAAGTGCATTCTGGACATTGTAGTCTAAATTGAAACTTTTCCAGGCTCTGTCCTGCTGGCTTCTCACACTATGTAGACATAGTACTATGGTTTTGCTATCGTAACATCCTATGGAGTGACACATCTTGTAGTTCAGTGGTTCCCAACCTTTTTTTGACCAGGAACTACTTGACTAGGGACCACTTTGACCAGGGACCACTCTCCAACATTATACCACAAGGGTTACAAATCAGTTTGTGAACAACTTTATATTCAGTTTGGAGTGTTGATTCAGAAAATTGCATTGTATAGACCACACCAGCTCTAGTTTTTGATACGGAACATATGCCATGGTAAGTGACAGGGAAGGAGCAGCAAGCAGTGTGAAAGAAGAGGAAATAAAAAAAATAAAAAAGAGGAAGGAGGCTCGCAGGCCAGATTTTAATCCTTGCAGACCACTGGTGGTCCACAGCTCACAGGTTAAGAACCATTGGTGTAGTTTGGAGAGAGCTTTCTGGCTGATAATATCTAAACTACAGCTCCCAAGATTCTATAGATTGTTTCCACAGCAGTTAGAGAAGAAAAAGTAGAATCAAAGTTATTAAGTTGTGAAAAAACCCTCCCCATGAGACCGGAGTTCACAGAGACAGGCCAGGAACAGAGTTGTTATATGCTGTAAGAATAGCATCCTTCCAGAGAATCCTGGAAAGATAATTCTTCTGCTATTGCCCCAAGTCTATTCCAAACCTGAAAGCTTTACAAAAACCTGTTCAGCCCCCACATCCACAGGACTGGTACCTTCAATTTCTTTAATCATTTTCTACATCCTCCAGTGTAATTCTATAGTATACTTGCACCAGAAGTTGACCAATGCTAAAGAGGTGTTGTCGCTAGGTGTTTCCCAGGTTCTCCAATGCAACTCTATAGTTAACTTCTGATGGAAGGCTTCATTTCAACAGGGTCCACTATCATCATAGAATCATGGAGTTGGAAGAGATCTCATGGGCCATCCAACCCCCTGCCACAAAGTAGGAAACTTGCATTCAAAGCACCCCCAACAGATGGCCATCCAGCCTCTGTCTTAAAGGTTCCAAAGAAGGAGCCTCCACCATACTCCAGGGCAGAGAGTTCCACTGCTGAATAGCTCTCACAGGAAGTTCTTCCTGATGTTCAGGTGGAATCTCCTTTCCTGCAACATGAAGGCATTGTTCTGGTCCTAGTTTCCAGGACAGCAGAAAACAAGCTTGCTCCCTCCTCCCTATGACTTCCCCTCACATGGCCCTCATCATGCCTCTTCTCGGCCTTCTCTTCTTGAGGCTAAACATGCCCAGTTCTTTAAGCCGTTCCTCATAGGGCTTGTTCTCCAGACGCTTTATCGTTTTAGTTGTCCTCCTCTGGACACATTCCAGCTCATCAACATTTCCCTTCAACTGTGGTGCCCAGGATGGGACACAATGTAATTCCAGGCATGGTCTAACCAAGGCAGAATAGAGAAGTAGCATGACTTCCCTGGATCTAGAAACTATGCTCCTATCAATGCAGGCCAAAATCCTATTGGCTTTTTAAGCTGCCACATCACATTGTTGGCTCATGTTTAATTTGTGTCCATGAGGATTCCAAGATCCTTTTCACACATACTAATGTCAAGCCAGGCATTCCCCATTCTGCATCTTTGCATTGCAAGTAGTTTTACACCAGTAGTTTCACATTTCATTACTAAGTCTAGGAACATATGTCTCCCAGAAATTAGGGATCACATTGCACTAAATAAGGAGAAAGATTGACCCCAAACATCTTGAAGGCTAAGGCTAAACAGCAGATCTAATTCCCAACTATCTAAACCAAAATTTACAGTATCTAAAACCAGCTGAATTACTATGACACATGAAGCAGAAGGTTCTGTAGGCAGAAATTTTCCCCTTTTGTGCAATTATAATCCACTTCTCCTCCTATGAGTTGTTTTGCCTCTTTATTTCACTTCATTTCACTTAAAGGTTAAACGGAAAGATCTTCCTCCTTCCACAGATTCAGCCACATGTCCCAATGAGTAGAGACAACAACAACAACAAAATTCAATATAAAAATAGCAACAATTCAAAAGCAGTGACAAAACAAATTATATATCAAATGAGCAGGCAGCCAAGAGAATTTCAGCTTACTACCTAGGCACAGCAATGTCAAGATGAATAAAGTATTGCCTGGGTTGATATTCAACATATACAGTATCACCGTCTTCTCAGACATCCAAATCTTTTTTCCAGTCTACCATCCGGCTTTCTTTGTAAGATACAAACATTCTGGCTGCACTTGGATGTCAAACTGAACCAAGAAACTGGTTTATTAAGCCATGATGTAAACAAGCGGCATTTGGTTCAAGCAACCTGGTCATTCCTGAATTCTTCCTCACTTCACAGAAAGATTGTTTTTCTGTGTTAGGGGCTACTTGAGAAATTGCAAGTTGCTTCTGGTGTGAGAGAATTGGCCATCTGCAAGGATGTTGCCAACGAGCTGCCCAGATGTTTTCCCATCCTGTGGGAGGCTTCTCCCATGTCCCCGCATGAGAAGCTAGAGCCAACAAATGGGAGCTCACCCCGCTCCCTGGATTCGAACCACTGACCTTTTGGTCAGTAGTCCTGCCAGCACAAGGGTTTAACCCATTGCTCCACTGGCAGCTACAAAGCAAGATGGTTGTATAGAATTGAGCCATGGCTATTAAAGTAGTGTCAAACTGCATTAATTCTACAATGTAGATGCACCCCTAGATTCAAAAACACGTGGAACATCTCATATGATTTGGAATTTTGATTATGAGTAAAATACAAATACCTGTTCACTAGCTGTTGGTTATTTCTAGCCTCCATCCATGTCTTTATAAATGCTTAAGAACAGCACTGGACAGTCTCCCTAACTCTGCATTAGGCAAAATTCATTTTGGCAAGGAAAAGGCTTAATTAAATTTATTCTATATACTGGCCAAAATTGAATTGGATGAAATCAGAAAACATCCTGTACTGAAAACAGAGCAAACTCTTAAAGACATCCCAGATTGCGTTGCCAAAGCATTCGGTGACTTTCCTCAATATTTTTTCTGTGGAGGGAACAGGGGAGGATGCACATATATTCATTGGCATATTTATTTTCTTATGCAGTTGATTTACTTTGTTTGATAACTTATTTAGAAATTGCAAAGTGGTCCTCCTCACATTGTTCTCCACAGTCATAGTCCAATGTTCAAACTAATATGTTATGCTGGCTCTCTTAGGCTGGATCTACGCTGCCATATATTCCAGATCATCAAAACAAATAATCCTCATTAACTGCTTTGAACTGGAGTATAGGAGTCTACACTGCCATATAATCCAGTTCAAAGTGGATAATCTGGATTTTATATGGCAATGTAGACAAACAAATGTAGATTTGTTTATACTATACACAATATATCTCTGGTGCAGCACACCATTTCAGTGATAGCTACTGTTAAAAAAGATCCCATTGATTACATAACAACTTTTTTTTAATTACAGATTAAGAGAACATAGAAGCAAAATGCAAAAAGGTGTGCTAATCTCTCAGAAACATGTGTACATTTCTGGCAAAAATCCAATGAGCCTTCTGAGTCATATTAACAAAGGATTCCCCCAGGCAAGAAGCAGCCAGGCATTGAAGCTGCAAGTCCATTCAATGCTAATCAAGATGACCAATTGCAATATTCACACCTGCCTCCAACAGACAAGAGTTCCTTGTCCCACCCTGGACATTATTCCACAGATATATAAACCTCACTTGCCTAGTTTCTAACAGACCTCACAACCTCTGAGGATGCCTGCCATAGATGTGGGCGAAACGTCAGGAGAGAATGCTTTTGGAACATGGCCAT